CGCACATAGACACAAACGTGTATGCAAATCCAGACAGTAAGACACAGAGACAAGCACACACATGCATGCACGCGCACACACAGTATTCAAGCATTCAAGCATGCTGAGCACGTTTTAGAGAGGGTCCTGTTTAGCTTACACTGGTGCACCTGTTGTAGACGAGTCAGACCACGACACCTCAGGGGACGCATGGTTTCCATGGAAACCCGGGGACAGGAATGGTGCAGCTCTCTGATAATTAGCACCATGATATCTCACTAAGCAGAGTGCTGGAGCTGGTCCTTTCTAGGTGTTATTCTGTTATTCTACTAGTAGTGTTTGTGTACTTAGAGTTCTCAGTATATATTTCTGCATGTGTCTGTTTGGTGAATATGTGTGTTTCTTTCAGTTTAATGTAATTCGGGTGGAGATGCCAACCTTTGGAACTTGACCTTTACCCTCCTACACATCACATAGTTGGAAAACTGATGGCGACACTATGGAAATGAAAGGCATCAACTCTTCTGCTCTCTGATCCACCCTATGCTGGTTTTTTTCAACAGCCACGAAGATCAATGGGGACATCATTAAAACAGGGCGGCACTACCATTCAGCTGACAAAGTAGACCATCCCTTATCAATACTTCCTTTTGGAGTTGCTGCTAAAACGAATCTTGCTACCATTTATGCATCCCTCTGATCGTGGCTCCAGCAGGGGGGCTTTTGCCTGAGGGTGTAGCTCCAACTTTGCATTTTGTTTGGATTTAATAAAAAAAAAAGTTGGGGTTTTTGGTGACATCGAGGACGTTTTTATTTGCTTGATATAATTTATTTTTCAGAAGTTGGATTCCGTGCATACAAGCTATTTTTTTCTTGGTTGCCTAAGGCTGAAGTCTTTTGAAAACCCCTAAATTTGGAGCTGGTTTCCAAAGTTTACACATTGGTTCTTTTGCACAACCAGAGCCATACAACAGTGGTGCTCTGAAAAGTTCCCTGAAAAGACCCGGTCTCATCAGAACAGTGACCCAGGGCGAGCAACGGCGTTCAGGAGTTGGAAGCCCTGGATGAGCAGTGTGTCCACTTGGAGAGAGGAGGATAGGAGGAGGTACCGACCGTGGAGATGACAGACATTGAGGGACAGGAGAACCAGGGACAAGGGATCTCTGATAAGAAGCGTGGCACTGATCACATTGGTCCTGAACGTCGGTGCAGTGTCCAAAGAGGCTTTGGCACCCCAAAGCAGCACCTCCATGAGCATCATGGCTCCTTGTCCAATGTGGAGGGGTTTGAGGAATTTGAAGAGTTTGTTTTGGATTTTGATGACTATGACTTGCTTGAGTCAATCCACACTCAACTGGGGTCACCAGACGAGCCTGTCCGTAAGTTGTGTAAAGTTGTTGTTTCTGTGGAGATTCACCTTGCTGGTTAGCATTACAGTACAGTTTGACAGTAGTGAAAGTTGCATCAAGCGATGAACGTAGCTCTGATGTAATCATAACATAACAGGAAATTCCCAGGGACAAGCATTATTCTATATTTACATGTACAATGATCAACGATCAGGAGCTCACTTGTTTCCATTGACTATGTAGCTTGCTGCTTGCCTAATTAAAGGCAATGTAAGGCTCATTCGTTGCCACACACATAGAAAAGCTGTCCATTGTATTGAGCGAATTGACACAGTACTCGACTGCTGCTGTTTCCTGCTTTCCTATTGATCCAGAGGCACCCATTTGGTTTGGGGGTCAGCCACAGCTAGAGCGGAAAGACATTTCATTGACCAGCAATGTGTGGTTCTGCTATTTTTATTCCCATTCGGCTTTGGAAACATGGCACATTAGTCCTGTGATGAAGCTGTGTTCCAGCACATGCGAAATAATACCTTAACTAGCACACTAAATTAAGATGTGACCATAGTAAACTTAACTTGCATGTTAACATTGGCATGTTGAACATATTAGCATGCTGATGTTAGCACTTAGCTTAAAGCAATGCTTTGCCTAATCACAGCTCCGCAGAGCTGCTAGGTTGTTTGTGGAGTGTTTGTAGTTAGTACAAGCTCTGTGCAATAATCACTGAGCGATGATCTGCTTTCGGTGTCTGTTGGCGTGGAAGCCCCGTTATGACATTGTTACACCAGCAGCGAAATAATAACACCCCTGTTTTCAAAAACCTTGACCGCTAATATTAAAAGGGAAACTCCACAGATTTTACACATCTAACAAGTCTGCTTACAGGTCCTGGGGAGTACTACTGCATTTGTGAAAATGTTGTGAGCTCTGACAAAGTAATTTCCCCACGGGGATTATTAAAGTCTTTCTGATTCTGATTCTGATTCTGATTCTGAAATTGCCTTATGTGATGTCACATGAGTAAGTGCTGGTAAGGGCTGAAGACAAGTTTGAAAATGAAAATAATATGGGCTAGTGGAGTAAGACCATGTAGCCCACTCCTTATCCCTGCTTAGGGCTAGCAGCTCGAGGCTACATTAGCCTCCCTTAGCATAACATACCAGAGTCTTTGAACCCTGCTCTGTATTCAGGGTAGAAAGTAAATAAAACTTTACATATATCGTTAAGAAATTTAACACACTGAAAACACTCATCATAATCATAATGACTTCTTAGCAAGGAACAAACATTTTAGAGGCACAATGACATTATCTGTAGCTGGATTATATATTTCATGCACATATTTAGCAATTATTGCTTCAAATATAGAAACAGTCTTTTCAAGCTCTAACATTTAATTTAAATGTTTATAGCACAATGTCTAAACTGGGTCTCCGTCTGTTTTTTTAACCTTTATTCATTCAACAGTTAATGTGGACTTACAGTACACAGAAGTAAACTGTGGGTTAAAATGGTTGGGTCCTTTTTGTTTTGGAGTAAAATGAAGATAGATTTTAGATTATCTGGTTTTCAAATATGCTGCGAATCAGATTTGTCAAACAATTGGATTTCACTGAGGCCAAGAGAACAAAGAAACCGAAAATCAGATACAGTCTACGGACAGCGTGGTACCTGGCAGGAAAATAAATTGCCTTATGATTTTTGATACTGAAGGGATTTTTTAGGTCATTCTTGGGATTTATTTGATTTCTAATGTGCAGTATTATCAAAATGAGATGATTGGTTACACAGGGATAGTTTAGCTGAGTTGTTTTCCTCATATAATCTAGAACATGTGTGTCTTATCATTGACCCAATCAAGACAAGTCATTATACTGCTCATGTTGCCCATGTAAAGTCCCATCAAAAACTTTCTCTTACAGCTCAAAGGAAATGATAATCAAAGGTATATGAATATAGCACGGGGCTCTATAGTCAGAAACATCTGACATTAAATAAATATTGTGTGTGGAGGAGATTTGGAAACCGGCTAATTTATGCATGGCAGTTACTTTTGGCTGATAAATCGCTCAAAGCTGTTGATACCGAAAGAAACTCCTCAGAGTGGATTATAACAATAAATAATGCTTGCAGTTACTGGATATGGTTCAAGTGTTATGGTATTTTAAACATGGGGTGCTTTGTGTTGTGCCTTCTCAGTTAGATTAAAGGCCTCAGCCCAGGTCAGACACCAGTTCAAAAGAAGGGAGAGGAGTTGTCCAGCTCTTCTAGATCAGTCAGAGCAGTTCATACAACGGCAGCCTTTAGAACTTTTTTCCCCTTGGGAGACTCTACAAAAGGAAATACAGTCTTACTTTATCTTGATTTCCATTTCTGTCTATTTCCCTCAGGATGGCATGACGCAGCTGAATGGAACACTTACTGTAGTTAATGCACACACACACATACTCTCTTTCTCTCTCTTTCTCTCTCTTCCTCTCTCCCCCCTCCACTTTGGTTACCTCCGGCTGTTCATGTAAAAGATTAAAAAAGTGTTTATTCAGTAAGAAATTATATTCAGCCATTGGCTAGTCTGACAGGTTCCAGACTGAATGCAAATCAAGATCTTTATCCTGACCTTACACCAACCCCATGTGGTTACTTAACCATATATAACCCTACCAATAATAATAATGATCTTGCTTGTTACAGCCTAATTATTACAAATCAAGTTCTGCTGCACGTTTTAAATAATTTCCCTCTGGGATTATTAAAGTATTTCTGATTCTGATTCTGATTCTGATTTGGACAACGACACAAATCTTGAAGCTTGAGCCTCTTTTAACAAGAACATATTATAACACAGTCCAGCTTTGACAAAATAAAAAGAACCAACAAAACGTTTATTGCAATAGATTACCTATCCTGCATGTATTTATTTTCAGACTTAGATAAGATGAATATAAACTATGTACTGACTGGGTATGCTTTGTAGTTTGTAGTAGTAGTAGTTCTACTGTAAAGTAGTTGGCCGAAATGTAAAAACACCCAATTTGCAGTTAAAATGTGCAAAATGACAATTCCTTTTACCGTCTCAAATGTATTTCTTAAGTTATAACTAAACATACTTTAAACCACTCTCTAAACACATTTCCACACAGGTGGAAGCCTCGTAATGTTCACTTCCCAGTTCCTTTGTCCAAATGAAGTGACTTCCCAAGCTTCAAACTCTTTTAAATGGCAAATAATAGCCCCGTCCTCACTGTAATGAAAAGGCTTCCTCATTATGCTGAATTCAATAAACTATGATTTGTGGGTCAAGGAAATTGAAAATGAAATTACTTTTGAACTGGGGGTAAAACCACCTCCTCTGTAACAGTTTCCCATGGCGTACAGAGATTCTCACTCACCCATGGAGCCTTTTCATTATGTTATTGGATGTTCTGCTGTCAACTGGAAACTTAAACAGACATACAAATTTGATTTCAGATTTTCCAGCATGGAGCACATTTTGTGTGTTAGACAGGATGTTTTAGTTATTCACAGTCCTAAAAAGAGAAATTCAGGCTGCTGTTCACAGATTGCACCTAGTTAGGTTGGCGTCCGAATAACTCCTCCAAAAATCAAGACATCATGGCTTAGCAATGCTGACCTTTTGCATTTTGACTCAAAATACTTGTGGCTGTTCAGGTCACAGATTTGAGGACAACCCTGGGGTGAGACGCCACCTGGTGAAGAAGTCGTCACGATGTCAGATGACCCGGGCCAGCAACAGTTCCACGCCGCTATGCAGCCTGAAAAAGAAGAAGAGAGCAGCCGATAAGAAAACTCACGAGGTTTGCCGCACACTTTGTTTTCCCCAATAACATTAATCTGCATTTTGGCCACTGTGTGAATACTTTAGTATACAGGCCACAAAAAAGTTTATTTTGTTGAAATTGTAAATGTTATCACATTAAAAGTAGTATAAACTACCCTACTACTATTACCCTAATCGTCATTATGGTTGACATATTAGCATACAATTGTCTACACACCAAGCAGGCATTAGCAACATTAGCATTCATTTGGAGTTGTGTTTCTGTCCACCTGACAAATGTCAGTTCAGTATTCACTCTTCCTGTAGCTCTGGTTTAGTCTTTGCCAGATCCTGAAGGGCAATATTTGGCTCTTTAGCTGATAAACTATCCACTTTGCTCACTAGCTAGTTGCTAAATTTGTCACCTATCTAGTGCTGGGCAGGTACAGTTGGTTTATCAATTGGTTTGCGCTGTCTGATGAGTGAAACAAAATGTACAGTTGTGACAATGAAACCAAAACAATGAGCTGAATGAGGCTAAAACGCTAGAGCTGAAGGGATACGTTGTTAATCTAAAAACATGGATTAATGTGTATACTTGATAAGTATTATTCCATAAATGTTGAAAGTCTTGGCTCCTGGGGTGTAATCTTAAGCACGTTGACTGGATGAGACAAAATTGCTCCTTTTGTTTCACCTTAGTTTGACAGCAGAAATTTCACAAAAACAAAAATCATATGAGTAATATTTTGTGTTTGCTAGGAATCAATTTTGTGTTGAAATTTGAGAAAATGTATCTTCATTTGGTTATCCTCTGTGTCCAAACCACTCTGAACTGGATCCAAACCGCTTATTTTAGTTGGTCCCATAAACACGTGTGTCGACTGCATCATGTTTTGCTTTAAAAAAAAAAAAGAAAAAAGATAGGAACAGCCAAACAGTGGTTGTCCAGCTTTTTCTTAAGTTAATGTATTTATATTGGTGCTAGCCAGTGTAGTTACGGATAATGCAGGGAATGTTCACAGCATCATCAAGTATTAACAACTGTTCCTTGATAGATTTATTTGATTGCACTGAAATTGATTGCAGATTTTTCCAGTTTTTCCATATCACTGTATGTTAATAATACTCTTAAACATATTCCAATTAGTAGTCGTCTCTTCTCTACTTCATATTCAGTTGTTTGTGGAGCTGAATGAGCTGATTGTGGAGAAGGACCATGAAATGCGTTGGAAAGAGCGAGCACGGTGGATCAAGTTTGAAGAGGACGTGGAGGAAGAGACAGATCGCTGGGGCAAACCTCATGTGGCCTCCCTCTCCTTTCGCAGCTTGCTGGAGCTTCGCCGCACCATCACTCAAGGTAAACAGCTCCTGCATACATACAGCAACACAGATGCTCGCAGCGCCTGCCTTATGGTTTATCTGTTCCCATGTGCAGCTGAAATAAAATCCACCAGGAAAAACATGACATGCAAAAAGAAGCTAAACTCATTAACAGAAAATACATTTGTCAAAATAACAATATGTCAAAATGTTTTCCTTGCTCACATTTATCCAAACACTGGAGAGTGAATACTTTTTAAACAATATGGTATGAGCATCCTTGTCTTCCTGTACCTTTCCATCACTAGGTGCAATCCTGCTGGACCTCGAGCAGAACTCTCTGCCCGGCATCGTCCATCTGGTGGTGGAGACGATGATCATCTCTGATCAAATCAGAGCTGAGGACAGACCGAGTGTTCTCCGGGCTTTGCTGCTCAAACACAGGTCAGTCACCAAGCTAACACTAACTGGCTCCCTCAGACAGAACATTTTTACCATCTGGTTTCAGTACAGAGTCAGACGTCAGTGTGGCATCCCAGGAGAGTGTACAAGGTTTAAGGGGCTCATCTGAATATTTTTGACCAAAGAAGTTTGGGTTAGGGTTAGAATTGGCCAGAATTGAAAACACAGACCTTTTTATTCCAGGTTTCCGACATTATTACTGTAAACACATTTTGTACAGCATCTGAGGCTGTCCTATTAGCAGGGTTCAACTTCTTATTCTTATATACTTCTAATATGAACCGTTATCATAATCGGTCTCATGAAGCTGCATAGATCACACTATTTAGGAAGTATTGCAAACATATAAAATACATGAATACAAAGTCTTGGAGAACACTTTCATCACAATTAATATTTAACATTACATTTTATTCATTACTAATGCTGGCCAACCTATTTTAATGTGTATAGACATTTACTATACATCGTATAAAAAATAACTGTTGTAAAGTATTGCTACTGAGTTGTAAACTCATTGTTCCATGCTCTTAAAGCTTGTAACCAGCCTGAACCAGAACTCCTACTTGCAGTTTTGGTCTGTGGTTTTAGTTACGATGGCAACAGATCTTGATTTAATCTCAAACAATCCCAACCCCACTTAATACCAAAGTTGGATGACTAACTTCACAAGACAGTCCCAGAGAACATTGTTATCTTAGATTTAGTTGTTTCTTTGTCCATGTTTAACAGACCTGTCAGTCTATAATAGTGTGAATGCTGCTTTGTTTACACATTGATTATGGGTTGTAGGTATGGCAGAATGAAGAATAACAGTGAAGGTTACAGAAAGGCAAAATGTAGGGGAACTGAACAGGGAATTTCCAAATTGTGACATTTAACAACACTTGGCTCATCATCTGGTGTACTTCCCCAGGGTTGACTAAGTTTCAAACATCAAGACTGTTCTGTAGCTGCCCTGGGTCTTAAAGCCTCAACCATCACGCTTCATTTTGTAAACCATCCTGTGTTTGTTAAGATATTTGTCTGTGTCAGACGTACTTCTTTCCATCCACAAAAGAGTGTGAGTTTCAATCTGAGGCTCATAACTACAGACCAAGAATGAAAAAGACAGTGTTAGGGGCTTGGTAAAAACATCTAAACATGCAAATTTGAAACCGACCTTTCTAGTTATTTTGTTGTGTTTATTACCTGATTAAACTCGATTGTTATTTTAGCCTTTGAGTGTTTGGTGCTTTGTGATTTTTGCATTAGCAGGTTCTTTCCAGCCAGCCGAGTCAGCCCCTGTTGGTATCAGGTTCAATTGTGTTGGTGGAAATTATTCTGTGTGACGTTGTTACCCTTATGGGACACCACAACTTACTTTAATGTGTCAGGATCTCAATTCCAAAATGGCATTAGCGATCAGGACTTGCCCACTAGAAAACCTTAGAAACCAGAATTGCTGGCTGCGAGCTCACAAAACACCAGAGGGGATTGTTACATCAGATCCTGCACACGGCTAAATATAAAGTCAAATAAACACCAGTATGTGAATGTAACACGTGACATGTCATCTCCTCGCTATCTCTAGCTCTCTCCCCACTTATTGATCGACAGCTGCATTAACATTCCAGCTAAACTGACCTAATACATATGGCCAATGGAATAGTGCGCTACACAATAGTGGATTATAGATTTGTCACTGTTACATAACGAGAAAAACAAGTTAACTAAATGGCGGCTGTCAAATTAAATTACTAAAAGGAAAGATAAGCCATGCCTCTAAAATTCACAAATTCTCCAGTTTGTACAGTTTGTGTCAATGTCATTTTGTGACAAGTGGTCAGTAGAAACATATAATCTATCATGTCTCTCCATTTGTCAGTGTACAGTCAGCTGGCCAACTAATACTGTTACTACTGAATGGATTGCCATGAAAAGATCCCCACATGAAGCCTGCTAACTTAAGTACCTCCCTTACTTTTTCTTTAGCTTAAGTAGACATTAATGAAATATCTCAACCACTATTGAATGGATGGCCATTAAAAAGTTGTGCCCAGAAGATGAATCCTATTGATTTTTAATTGTCCCCTTCCTCTGGTGCTACCAGCAGCATTGTTAAACTGTAGCGACACTCTGGCTTTCCATCCACCATCATCATGAGGTCAAAGGTTGAAACACTATCCAGTACATTTGTTATAACCAAATACCTAGCTGCACTTTGGGTTTAGTGCTAATTAGCAAGTTAATGAACGTGGTAAACGTTATAGCTGTTAAACATCAGCTTGTTAACATTGACATTTTAAGCATGTTGGCATGCTGACATTAGCATTTAGCACTCAGAGCTCACATAATGTTTTTCTTTTGGCTCACATGCACAGTTGGCAAGTTGGTGCCCACTGGCAAACATATAGACACTTGTTGACAATAGGTCCATTTATTGGCTTACATTTCTCAACTTTTATTGTGTGATATGACCCAAAGCTCCAGAGCAGCTCCTAATTGGACCTTTGGGTGAGATTGTTTTAGTAACTGCTGTTGAAAAACCTTCACTCATACCTGTGTTAGTTTATTTCCAAGGAACTCATCTTATCCTTATGTCTCTGTACACAGCTCTTCTGAGTCACTGGTCCAGCATTCTCTGTCTGGCCACTCCTTTGTCGAACCAGAATGGTACAGCCGGGTTCGATCAGTAACAGTAATCTTGCATGGACAATGCTGTGGTGTGATGACACTTCAATAGTCTGATAATTATAAAACATAAAAATTTAATATTACTAACATTGTGGTGACCAGATTTTCTGTTTGACTAAAATGTTCACGGGATGGATTTGCACATGCAAAGCAACACAACAGATGAACACAAAACAAGCCAGCCAGTGGACATTCTTAGCAGCAGTCCATCATGCGTTCATTCCATCTTTCACAGCATTTCCACATAAATTCCCAGTATGTCACTGGCTGCTTCTGCAAGGGAAAAAAAACCCTCAAACACTCATGTCATTAGAGTCATCACCAGTCTGAGATATCAGATTTACGATGTGGAAAGAAACACATTGAGGTGCTGCTAAAATTTAGCTCATCGCTTACTCAGACCAGTTAAAAGATCTTCTGGAAACGTCTCGAGCAGAAATTCCCTTCAGTGTCACACCTCGTTCTTTTGTCTCGCGATGCTGTCGTGTCCAATTTGGGCGCCGTGTTATAGGACCTTGTGGGCCTAATGAGTGAGGTGATGTCACCCTTGGACTTAACAGTGTAATGAAGCAGCGTTAAAAAACTTGGCTGGTGTGACACACTAAATACTTCTCTTTAAAAGGGAGAGAAACATGCTTACACTCACATGCACAAAGGCGTAGTTAATAAGGCTACACAGATTAGACTGGCTGTTTTATTGATGCACTGATGCAAATGTCACATTTTAAAAAATGACTGTGTCAACTCAGACTTTCTCGTAAGAGCTTTCTAATTGCCTTAAATTGAAAAAAGGTTTATATTTGGAAGGACGTTGCTGATGACTTTTTTAAATTTATGACCTGCATTGCAACTGCATTAGGTAAAGCTCTTCAGCATGTCGAATGAACAGAAGGTAGATTAGGTGAACAAGAATCACAGCTGTGCCGGTCATTTCTAGAAACCAAATTATCCTGCAGCCCTTTTAATTAAAATACTTCAGAATGATAGTTTCTTCCCGTTTTTTTTTACAAGTAAAAACGACACTATTATCATCTTTTTATAATGATAGTTTAATTCACCCCTTGTCAATCTGTTGCAGAAGCACCTGGGGAAGTGAAACTTGGAACTGTACTTGTATTAGTATATACTATGGAACAATCCTCCCAGTACTAACTGCTTTTTAACTGTGCTAAGGGTGGGACTTTGTGGATAATATTGTCCAAAATCAAATACCTCAAGAACTATTAAGTTGATTGCCATAACATTTTCTACAGACAGTAATGATCCACAGTGGATTCATATTAAGGACTTTTCATCTAGCAGTTTTGGTTCAGAGTTAAACCATGAAAATTGCTCAGATATTTCTGCTCTCCACAGGGTGGACTGTAATGTAATCTCCCTGACATTTCATTTAGTGCTATCATGAGGTTAACATTTAAATTTGTACTTATCTTACTTGGGTTCATGAGCTGTAAAACTAATGACTTTCCCATCCACCACAGCCGTGCTTTGTGCTTATTGCTAATTAGCCAATTTCAGCATGCTAACTAAGATGGTGACCCTGGTAAACATTACTTGTCAATGTGAGCGTACTAGCATGCTGATGTTAGCACTCAGCTCAGAGCACAGTTGCATCCACATAGTACGGCAGTAGACTTGCTCATGTTTTCTCTTTCCTTCTTTTTGTTCCCACAGCCATCCGAGTGATATGAAACATCGTTTTCACCGCCACCAATCATCCAGCAGTCTTCATGGCAGCTTCAATCACAACCACGTCCCGGACACCAACCTGCCGCTGGTGGCTGAAGAGCAGGAAGAGCACCAGGATAACAAAGTGCCGGTGTACGACCCAAAACAAGACGTGTTTGTCAGCCTGTTTGTAAGTCCTTCTTACTTAGCGCTTGTTTCGCCTTACAGCAACCCTTATTCCTCACACTTCATTTACTATCTGTGTCAATGCAGGGATTTCCACCCCTGGAGAAACATTTGGGCTATAAAACCACAAATATGGTGGCATATTCTAATGCTACTGTTCCAGTATATACACTGATCCTAATGATTCCGTATTTTAATGAGTTGGCCCACCCGATTGTAAACATGTCACTTTGGCAACGTTTCCTAGTGTGTGTTTGCAATGTCTCAGAGGAGGCTCTTCTGTAATTCATCCATTAGGCCGATAAAAGTCTGTGTGACGTATATGGAAAATGCAGCGCTTTAAGTTTTTAATGCTTACTGTGCAATCGCCAAGTTGCTGCCACTGGTGTTTTGCAATGTTTTCCAAACTAGCCTGTCCAGCGAAGATGTCCCCAGTCTGTGCAATCAATGCAGTTCTTAATGTGTTTTGCCATCAAATATTTGTCAAACACTGAAGACAACTCTCTCTCTCAACTCTCTCTCTACTTGGCAGGACAGAACCTCTCATCTTAGCACATGCACACAAACACACATTGATATACAGTATGATGATCTGATACAAACAGATCTCTATCATCATGGTTGCATTGCTTTGAAGCAAATGCTTGTAGTTGTAAAATGTACATGCATAACGAATCGCAACTTGTTCATCAAAACTACTTCATCAGAATCAGAAGATAATATAATAAAGTAGTCGGCTGGACTCAAATGAGTAGTCGGCTGTTTGGCCGGCAGCTGTCTGGCTCTGGTCAATGTGAGACGCTGGTGACAGAGATCTAAGAGATATAAGATCTGGGTTAAGATAGACTGCGACATAGTTGAAACAGTGCAGGCAGACAGCACAGTAACTTACCAAAGCCAAAGTAAGTGATTAACTAGTTTTGACAAGTATCCACAAGGATAATGGAATGCAGCTATCTAAAAGGACGGAGATAAAAGCGACGTTGAGCTGTCTTGTTCCAGTTTATGGTTTGAATTAAGTTCTAAGAATCAGCAGTAAGCGTAGATTTAAGCATGATTACACAAAATTCCTGATGTGAGGCCTGTGGCTCTCGCATTGTTCTTTGAAACACCCCTCCATGATGTCAGAAGTCGTGTAGGTAGTTCTTGAAGTTGGAGAAGGCAAGCCTCCCCGTGCCACATGTGTTGAATTATGTTCTTAGTCAGCTTACAGGTGCTTCCAGTTAAAGCTTCTTGATGCATTAACTGTGAAAACCTAATGTTCCCCATGGCTTAAAATCTTGGCAAATTTAAAACAGCCTATTAAAAAAAATCTGTTGAAACATAAACAATCAGTCATCCTGTTGAACGGTTTTAAAATAAACTGCACAGGGGTGTTATTCAGAATATTATTGTTCATATATACTCTGCTTTTTCGACAATATATTCCCATTATTGGCCCCATGCTATGTTGTGGTGTCACATCATGTTGGTTGGAAAAACAATATGGATATTCTTTGTTCTGTTCCTCCTCCAAGAAATCTCTCCACCCTCTGCCTCCTGAGAGCCATCCAGCTGCAGCCAGATCGATGAAGCTCCTCGCCAAGATTCCCAAAGATGCTGAAGCTGTCATTGTTTTAGTTGGTAAGCTCCGTGAGTTTTGACAAAGTAGATTAGAGGAATTATGCCTTTTCTCTTGTGTTTTTATAAAGAGATGAATCTGCTTGTGGCAAATTCTTCATCGGGCATCAAGTAAAAGAATTAAATTACATCAGTATAACACTATAGTCATAGCCAGTGGTACCTACTTCTGTGTGTATTCTGATCACCTTTTGTCTTTATGGTAGTTTTTAAAATTATGCTGCTGTGCTTATGCTAATGTAAAGTCTAAAAATCTCTGCAGCTGCTTTGCTATGAATCCCAGAGGACCTGAAAAGTGAAAATGTATTCAAGTCTTAACACTAAATTAACACTACAACTACCACAGATGAGCAGATTCATATTTTTGAGAATAAACAGGTGATGAGTGTACTGATCACAGATTGTGTTATCATGAATGTCGTCCCTCATGCAGAGATGTGAAAAATCTCAAAAGTCTAAACTTGTTGCGATTTTTTGTTGTTTACTTTCAGGCTGTGTTGAGTTTCTGGAGCAGCCAGCCATGGCCTTTGTCAGGTTGAATGAGGCAGTCCTTCTGGAGTCGGTGCTGGAGGTCCCTGTCCCCGTTCGCTTTATTTTCGTCCTGATCGGTCCCACTCAGTCCAACATGGACTACCATGAGATCGGACGCTCCTTCTCCACTCTCATGTCTGACAAGGTAGATATAAATCTGAAAAGATGTAAAACCACGTTTCAATCACATGACAACAACAAAAGAAACAGATGAATATCGTCATTTATTCACTCATAAACATTGAGAATTAGATTTAGAATTGAACTTCACTAATAGGTAAGGTACTATTCATTTTTTTAACCAAAAAGCCCAGTCCAGAAAAATAAAGAAAACATGCTAAAAAGCTGCTAATTATCCCCCTCCATATACATTATTCTGAAGTAAATCCTAGTACTTGGCCCACCACTGTAAATGTCCATCAATGAAATGAGAAGTTGCATAATTGATTGCAGTAATTTGCTAATAGACAGATACTGTAATATATTCACAGTTATTGCTCTTACAAACTGTAGATCCTCTGAGCTTGAGTGGCCTTTCTTTTGCTTTCTGGCGATGACATTCAGTTGCATTTTGTTATAGAGTTTCCACGAGGTGGCCTATTTTGCTGACGACAGACAGGACCTCCTGAATGGTATCAATGAATTCTTGGACTGCAGCATCGTCATTCCACCCTCAGATGTGGAGGGCAAAGACCTCCTGAAGACGGTGGCGGACTTCCAGAAGCAGATGCTACGCAAGAGGAAGGAAAGAGACCTCAAGAGGCACCAGTCCTCAGCTGGAATAGAGCAGAACAACAAAGGTACTCTGTCAAGTCCTTAAAGAGCCCGTTTTACCAGCCAAATCCTAATTTACTGGGCTTGAGCAAGGCACGTCTTTTATTCTGCAAACCAATGCAAAGACAGATCAACCCCATAAGTCCGACTTCTTTAAAATTGTGTGCAGGACTTTCCCTGCGTTTTCAATGTTAAAAACACATATGTGAACAGCTTTTACATCTACAAATCAGCTTGCACTTTCAGTAGTTTAAGATGATATATCCCATCACCTCAGTAAAGAAAACATCTACAGTACTGGTTAGATAGTAGTTTTTTTCAAATTATGTATTAGGGAAAAGATCATGAGCGTAAATAATCAATCTTTCCATTCAAAAGCAAGTCTGACATTCCATTTATACTGTAACTTTAACAAGTTAATATTAGACTATTGTTTTGTGATATGATAAAGCTTACTAAAAACTCAAAATCCCACCATGCCATCCACCATTTAAAGTTTTTACCATGTCAATTTGACGAATATTCACATAAAACAAGTAGAAAATGTGTTTTTAAGGATTCACATTTTACATTCCTCAAGATGTGCGTTGCCATAGAGTCTTTTTTAATGCTGCCATTGGAGGGCGCCAAAGACATTTTTAAATCCTACACATAGTGACATTGGGGAGAAAGATGGTATTATTCTATATTCTTCTTATTGTCAACATATTATCAAAATAATTAACCCAACAATTCAATATTCCATCATTGATTCCCTACTGTGTGACACTAAAAAACAGGCAACAAATATATTTATATATATTTTAAAGTGCTCAGTAATGAAGTAGTTTTTAGGGATTACTCAGGTGTAAACAGTAAATTTGTTAGGGACTATTTTCAGCTGCAAACTGATACACATTCATTGCTCTTGTGCCCATGTTCATGGTAATAAAGGAACATGTCACCCAGTACAACAGTATGGCTCAGGCTTGTTAGTTGGGATTTCGGTAGTGTGTGTTTAGCTTTGTATTACAGACCTTTAATATCTATCATCTTGTATTTAATTTGCTAACTTGTATTTATTGTTTTACTATCGTGATGACTAGTAGTTTCTTTGTGTAACTGATTATGTAACAAACCCCGTAGAGGTGAGTCCAGAGGAGGAGGAGGAGGAAGACCAGGAGGTGGACCCATTGAAGCGCTCAGGGATCCCTTTTGGAGGCCTGATCCACGACATCCGCCGCCGCTATCCACACTACATCAGCGACCTGAAAGACGCCCTGGACATGCAGTGCCTCGCTGCCGTCATCTTCATCTATTTTGCTGCACTGTCACCGACTATTACCTTTGGAGGCCTGCTGGGTAAGCTGACTCTACAAGAAACAAGTAATTTGGACCTCATGTCATTTTGATACCTTCCCTCTGAAGATGCGTTTTATGTCTGTATTCACATACAGGAGAAAAAACAGAAGGCATGATGGGAGTGACTGAGCTTATTGTGTCAACTGCAACTCTTGGTGTTATATTCTCGCTGCTTGCTGGTCAGCCCCTCCTCATCATAGGCTTCTCAGGACCCTTGCTGGTGTTCGAAGAAGCCTACTACAAGGTACTATATCTAAAAATGTAGTTAACAAAGGAACTACTAGATACTATAACACATACTTCAGTATTTGTTACATAATTCTGAAACATGTCACTAACATTTCTGTGTCTTTTCAATCAGTTCTGTCAGGCCCACAACTACGAGTATCTGACTGGTCGAGTGTGGATTGGTTTCTGGCTCATCTTCATTGTCCTGGTGATTGTGGCTGCAGAGGGCAGCTTCCTTGTTCGCTACATCTCACCGTTTACCCAGGAGATTTTTGCTTTCCTCATCTCCCTTATCTTCATCTATGAGACTTTTTCTAAGCTCATCAAGGTAACTACTCCAGCTATTGCACAGCGCGCTTCTCAATTGTTATTTTATTATGATCAGTAGTACCTTACTTGTTAGTGAAGCTGATAGCATCCAATAATTAGGTTTAATCCTTCATTTTTTGTATCTGCAAAAAGCAAAAAATCAATGATAAATTGAGACGCTCTTCTTGTTTCCAGGTGTTTAAGGAACATCCACTGATGGCAGTGTACCCCAGTGACTCCACCCCAACTACTGAACTTCAAGATTTTGATCTCGTCTTCAACCAGCCTAACACTGCTCTTCTGTCTCTGGTCCTCATGATGGGCACTTTCTTTGTTGCTTTCTTCCTCAGGAAATTCAGAAACAGTCGGTTTTTAGGCGGAAAGGTACCCTGCTTTACTGAGTCTCTTAAAAACCTTTGGACAGCCAATTTCAGGCATTTATACAATAATACATTTATTAAAACAAGGTTATGTTTGTGCAGGGAAGTGGGATAATGTCAATAATGTATTTTACGCTTTTTTTATAAAAGAAAATTGTGTTTTTCACAGTTTGAATCAATAATATTGATGCATTCCACAGTGGGTGTTCATAAAGTGAGCTTTATATAAACATTTATGTGGTAAGAAGTGTGCTGAATGTTGACTTATTTTTATTTATCCTTGGTTTCTTTAAATCCCCAGGCCAGAAGAATCATTGGTGACTTTGGTATCCCCATCTCAATTTTAGTTTCAGTAGTGGTGGATTACACCATTACTGACACTTACACACAGGTAACTGTAATGTCTTCAGTCACACAGTCAACAGCTGAAGAGCATTTTTATTATAGTTCCAACAACTCAGTGTCTTTTCTCAGTGCATCACATTATTTTGTATTTACTTTTAGAAACTCAATGTGCCATCTGGCTTCTCAGTCACCTCCCCTGACAAGAGAGGTTGGTTCATCAGCCCCTTTGGTGACAAACAGCCCTTCCCCACATGGATGATGGGAGCATCTATTGTACCTGCCCTTCTTGTCTTCATCCTAATTTTTATGGAAACTCAGATCACTTCGTACGTACAGTGTGGTTATGTACAGTGGTAATACTTTGTGTGTAATAGTGAGGTATTCTTTTTACAAACTGTGCAACACTTTTTAAATATTTTCCCATTTTTCCTCCAATCTAACAGATTGATAGTCAGTAAGAAGGAGCGTCACCTGGTTAAAGGCTCAGGCTTCCACCTGGATCTTTTGCTCATTGTCATTCTTGGTGCCATCTGTCCTCTTTTCGGCCTGCCGTGGCTCACCGCGGCCACTGTGCGTTCTGTCACTCACGTCAACGCCCTCACCGTCATGAGCAAAGCCACGGCTCCTGGCGAAAAGCCCATGATCCAGGAGGTGAAAGAACAAAGGGTGACTGGGCTTCTTGTGGCTGTTCTTGTTGGTAAGAGGAAAGGGACGGATGGGAGTGTGTGATGCCAACTGACCATTCGCTAAACCCCACCCCCAAACAGCAATAGTCCAATAATAACATAGCAACCGTAGCTAGGCACACAGGCCTGTGAAGTTTTGGATTTCTACACATGCTGAAAAGGTGCAGATGGGTTGTAGTAAGAGGACTTCAGAGGGTGATTTAGCCTTTACAAAAATAAAAACACCAGACATTTGCATTTTACTGTACGTCCATCTGTCCTAACATTAGCTGCAATTTGTAGCATTTAGATTAATATTAGTTATTCTGGCCTGCTCTTTATTTGGTTCGGGGAAGATAACATGCCAGCAACTCAAGTAAAAATTCTTTATATTAGCATTACATTTGCCTAACTAGTCTTCATCCTCAGTGCATTTTTTCTTGTAAAAGTAAAGCATACTGTTTGAAATTCCTATCATTTAGATTCAGAGGTAACTAGCTCTGCTCTGCGCCACAAACAAAAGCTAACACAGATGCTCCTTTATTTCTTCTACATGTATCAGCTGGAGAGGATGCTGACTTTTAGCCTGGGATACAAAGCTTTAGCCTCAGTCTTTTTGCATGATATCGTGTATGCAGCCATTGTGTTACTTCCGCAGCACCTGCATGTCTTGACATTCTTGAAGTATGAATCAGCCATTGAAGCTTAAAAAGATTGTATATTCTCTTTACAAATTCTCTTCAAAATGAACCGAAACTGTCATTTTTCCAAACGAAAATTGTTGAACTCAAAATGCAGGGTCTGACATCGCAACCTTGTTTTTATCCACTGACTAGTACTACATCGCCAGCAGAATATCTTGTTTCAATTAAGGTAGGGTTCCCAAAGTAGTCTTAAGTATAGTTTGATCCAGTTTGGGTATACAACCGTAATGACTCATCATGGTTGTTGAGCTTTTGTTTGATTGAAATGCTGTTTGGATTAGAATTAAGACTTTCTGGATTATCCCAAATAGCATTCGACCAAGGCAGCTGAACAGTGAATGTTTCAAATAAACGGCATTGACAGTGTGTTTGTCATGAGGGCTGTTCCCTTGTCGAATGAATAATTCTCTCCAGTCTGCATGTGCGTACTCCCTAAAAGACAGTAATATGATTTGAAAACCTCACCTATAACCCCCTTTCTACCCATCAGGTATGTCCATCGTGATGGAAGACGTGCTCCGCCTCATCCCTCTGGCTGTGCTCTTTGGCATCTTCCTGTACATGGGGGTCACCTCTCTGACAGGCATCCAACTGTACGAACGCATCACACTCATGGTCACGCCCGCCAAGCATCACCCCGACCACATCTACGTCACCAAGGTAGCACACACAATAAGAACGTTTACATGCCCTCGCCTTCTATTATTAGTGGTAAAATGGAGAAGCCAAACCCAGAAGAGTGGTAACTGCAGCAGAGTCCACGCAGCTGTTTTTCTGCCGTCTTGGTTTTCAGCTCTGTTTGATGGAGTGATTCAGATCCCTGTATAGATGATACGTGAACATTATCCAGATTTTTACAGCTATGCTAGTCTTGGACTCCTCCACATCCAGAAAACTGTCATTTCTTCACCAACAGAGAGTTACATGCAGAGTCACACACAGGAAAATGTTGCTGGGGTTTTGACCCCAAACAGAGAGTTACCTCAACAGTTGAGGATAAACACACAGTCTGGTTTCTGGCCGCCTGGTCACCGCTGGATTTACCTTCTCCATTTGATCATCAGTAATGGAAGAATACAATTAATCCTCTGCATTACTGGTGTCAGACCTACAATTCATTTTGTTTATCATCATAGTTTTTTTGTGTTTCTGACTAACTGCTATGTAAGACTAGTTCAGGATGCACCTGCAGACAGCATCATCAGAAACCTGGATATGGTGTATTCCTATTTCTATCTTAAAGCTAGCATATTACTGTCTCTTAAAACTGGGACAACGGCTTATCTATGTTGTTAAAACCAGGATCTTAAGTTTTTTTGTAGGATGCCTAACCTGGATACTTCATAGCCTAATCATAGTTAAGGTTGTAGACATACTAAACATACTGAATGATATAGCAGAAGGGGGGTACTATTTAAGAATAGGTACAAACTTTTTCAGATCTATCTGAAAAGTCAGGTGCCCATATGAACACTGAAACTGTTTTTGCTTGATGTACTGCTCATACTAGCAATTAAAAGATCCCTTTCCAACAGGCTTCCAGTGGGAGACAAAATCTACAGTCCTCTTGGAAAAATGTCTTATAAAGTTTATTTAATTATAATATGATGAATCTTTTTATTATGAAAGCCCCTCCCTGTGTTTCCCCACACAGTGTTTCCTTGCTGAGTTGCAGCAGAGGCACAGTAACACAACAAGAGGGAATTTTCATAATAAAAACACTTTATCTTATATTAAAGAAATGCAAGGACATGGGGTTTCTATCAGGCAAACAGCAAACAATGCTTCTACTTCAGGGTTGCCAAAGCTAACATAAATAATCAAAATATAATAATGTCCATTAATTAATACATAACCAATCTTCAACAGAAAAGAGAAAAAAAACTGCAGTGCTAAACTAAAAAAGTATTACATAATTGCGAATAAAGGGAGGAGTGTAAAGATGAAAAAAGAAGAATCATGGCCCAAGTTTCTTTTTGAGTTTGTACTGGGGGCAGAGTGGTTACACACCCGGGTGGGGTGGATCACTAGATCCTGTTGTGAGTATTGATATTTGTGTGAATAGAATCAACATCAAAAAGACTCACATTAGATCCTCTCAGGGGACATGAATATTCGTCTTAGTGCATGCTCTCTCTGTTTCTCTGCTGCTGCTGTGTGCATGCACGCAGGGACCACCTTGCTAGTTCAAAGAATTCACACAGTAAACATTTATTTATTTAGTGTTTTAACATGCATTTGGTTAAGAAATGAATAGACAATACAAATAAATGTGTTTGGTAAAACTCAGAAGTAGCTAGTTAATGATGCCTTTACACCTTGTAAATCATGACACATGGTTCTATAGCTAGACACTAACAGCTCATCTGTCAAAATTGGTGATTGAAAACCAATTTTATGGTGCATGAAAAACACAGCAAAAGGACAAGAAAACTTTACAGAAAATTAAATCTCTCTTGCTTTATTTTTACACAAAGCATCAGATGTAGGATTTTCCACTAGATGGAGCCAAAAACATGTGAGATTTTCTTCACGCAGGGGAGCAGGATTCAGTGTGTTTAATGTGTCTCTATGTTTCTGTGCTGTGGTCTATGGTCTTTTGGTTTTCTACCCTTCAACCACCACATGTGTGTCGCTTTAGGTGAAGACATGGCGCATGAACATGTTCACCATGATGCAGCTGGCGTGCATCGTGGCTCTGTGGGTAGTGAAGTCTACTGAGGCCTCCCTGGCGTTCCCCTTCGTCCTCATCATGACGGTGCCGCTGCGCCGCGTCATCCTCTCCAGGATTTTCGAGGAACGTGAGCTCCAGGCGGTAGGTTGGGGAGCAGAGACATTCTAGGAATGTTTGAATCTCTGCCACAATGATCTGATCCCACATAGCCACGGGATACTTATTTTACAGCAAATTCAACATTAGATGGATGTTGGCTTGTTTTTTTTTCTATCTAACACTAACATCTCTTGAAGAAATGCTTCAAATGAGCTACGAACGATTTTCTCCTCGGTGATCATGGACAGCTTTTTCTTCCAAATATTTTTAAAACAATATGCAAATATTTCTTTTTGCTCTGCGTTCTAACCAGAAAAAGATTCACTGTCCATCCTGAAGCGGGGCTTCATGTTTTCTTGGTTAGATCCCCCAAACCCATACATGTCATCACTGTCAGATTAAAACCTTTAATTTCCAAAATGTCAACTGTTTCAGGAGCTAGAATAAACAGCTTTGTTCTGATCTTGACCACTATTCGTGTTGCGTTCATCCAAAGGTTTCATGAACCCGGGGCACTGCAGAATTTCCTCAAACTACCGAGGACCTTGGAATGAAGTTAAAACTTTAAAATGATCTTAATTGGACCTCCCATGATGTCAGGCCCCTCAGCCCTCTAACCTTCACCCTTATATGAACCAGATTATACGTAAGCATGAAGAGCTGGAGCTTGCTAATTAAAGAAATAGTTTGACATTTTGGAAGAGACTTGGGCTTTCTTGCCAAGAGTTAGATAAGAGGACTGATACTGCTCACACGTCTGTATGCTAAATATGAGCACCAGCAGTCGGCTAACTTAATTTAGCACAAAGATTGGAAAAAGTCTGGCATGTAATCCCCCATACAATGAAAAATGTTTGTTTTTACACTTTGGTTTTTGTATAGATTGACCAAATGCGATACAACGTGTGAATTTGTGATCTTACACGGTGCTAGTAAAAAAAATTTTTGTTACCTTTGGTCAGTCAGGCTAGCTGTTTCCCCTTTTTTCAGTCTTTATGTTAAGCTTAGCTAGATGCAGGCTGTAGCTACATATTTAGTGTATAGACATGTATACATACCAAAATGTCAAACATTTCCTTCCATACTTCAGATCTAACCAGATTTTAGTAGTTTAGCTGTTGAATTCATGCTAAAATCATATATCTACTATCATAAAATTCACCAGGAGTCTACCTGAAAGCACACTGAGACCGCATCAGAGTTTGTTTGAACAGCACCAGATAGGTTAGGCGTGAAAGCATCCTAAGTTGTCTTATTTTGACCTTTGAGCAAACGCTGAATGAAAATGATGGAGGATAATTTGCTTTTTCACAGCTGGATTGCGACGAGGATTCTCCCAACTTTGATGAAGATGGACGGGATGAGTACAACGAGATCCACATGCTTGTATAAATTTAAACTCGACACAGCCCGTATGACTTCCTCCATCCTCCAGCTCTGGCCAATCACAGCAAGCCTCTTTGGAAACCTCAGTGTCTCTGGGTAGCGGTAAAGCGGTAAAGCGATAAGAGCTACCGTAATGGTGTTTGTAAAATATTCAAAAGCTATAGCTGGATAATCACTTCTTACCTTTGTTTATTCCAGTCTTTTAAAATAGCACACCTAATGTTAGATCTCTGTGGTGGTGGTGTTGTGTTAAACTCCCTGAAGATTTTATTGTGTCAGAGGCCTGAAAATAGGTCTGAGCACCCAACCTGACGTGGACGATGCAAATCTAGCAAAAAAACTTTTTATCCTATGTATCCCTTTAATTACTCTGCAGGTTCTGGGCATAAGTGCAATGATGATGGTGACCTCTAGGACTACAGTGGGCTGGATGATTTAGACTCATTATTGTCCTAAAGTGGGAAATGGGGTCAATTTACTTTCATTTCATTCAAGAAGCGGATTTTCTGCTGAACTGACCCTAAATCTCAAAGCCCTAAATTCTACTGCCTATGTATTTGAGCTGCCATTTTCCGTTATACTACTGCCACTGGCTATAGGTTGCAATGATGTGCAAACGAGGAGTTAAGTAGTACTTTTCCTTTCTGTACAGACTTTTAGTAATGAGCACTTTGACTGGGCAAAAGTTCACTTTTGTCGCTGCCAACCAAGCTCCCTGGCACAAGCCTCCTCTCTAAATGTAGTCTCCCATTGAAGCCAAAATCTCTACAGAGACTGTGGAAGCCTCTTCAAGGGGTGTTACTGTACTTTGTTAGGTGTTTAATGCCCAACATACCAGTCCACTGACCCCATTATTGTGACCTTGGATATACAAGTAAATAGCTCACATGGTCTCAACCTTATTTTTCTACTTTGTTGTATTTATTCTGTGACTTTGGACTTAATGCCATGCCAGATTCTCAGTGATGTTTAGACTCCAACTAGCTTAAGAGTTAGTATAAAATAAAAATAATATTGTGTAGGTTGACACATTCAAGACAGAAAAGATGTCATTATTCAACCATTCTTTCATCTTCTCTGCAATATTTCCATTGCGTGGTGCATTTTTTCACTGATGTCATGAATAATATAATAACACACTTGACTGGAAAAGCATAGAAATTAAGCAAACACACAAGTACTGAAAATGCTGGGGAACAGTTGAGTGTTGGCAGAATGTATGAATGATGCATTGTACAGTAAGACTGTGAGCTTGGAATTATAATGTACCATCTGTGTTCAGAGTTGTTTTGAAATGCCCAGAGATTTAGTTGTCACCTCCTATATTGCGAGCCTGCTATAGAATTTTAATTACCACTCAGACATAACAATTTTCAGAAACCTTACTTCTGTCACACAGAAACACCAGTTGATAAAGCAAAATTTCACAAGATACTTAATTATTTAGTAACAAATTGTGCACAGATTTGTGTGATGCTATTATTTAAGAAGGCCAGTGTGTTAGACTACACTCACTGACAAATATTCCACAATTTTGGAGCATTCTCTGAATATCGTGCAGACATCAGATTTAAGCAACTATGGGAAGTTCCGCCAACTTTTATCAAACATGGTAATAAGGTTTTATTAAAAGTAATAGGCATAGATATCAGCAGAGGCACTTGGACTTGAATGACAAAATGAGTTAGTATACCGTTCCTCTGGCATTATCGCTGCAGTGTAAAGAGGCCTACTGAACTCTGTGATCACTGATCACATTCAAGGACAATGACAGGAGTTTCCCTAAAAGATTCTAAAAATGAAGGATTAACCAAAGGAAGAAGATTTCTCGACAGTTACACTGGCATTTTTCAGAGTAATTAGTATGCAGAATCCTTCTACCTCCTATCGCCACACTTTTCACTTATTCACCTCTACACTGTACCTGCTGCTGTGGATAAAGAACGTTATGATGGAACCAGAAAGAAAAGAAATACTGTGTGACAGCTGGGGAGGTTTCTGTAAATAGCTCTTGTTTTCTTGTGATAATAATGATTACTAATGCAGGCAAACCTAAAAACTCCAAAGTGCTAAAAAAAATAAAGCACAGATTTTGACACTGTAAAAATAAAATTAAAAAGAAAATATTTTAATGGTCAGCAGTGTAGTATAGTTTTTGTAAGCTAACCACAAGAATGATCTCATGTCACATACCCATGCCCTACATTACGAGCCATGCAAGAACTCTGTCTCAGGGGATACTGACCTTCGATCTGTAAATATTGCTTACCAGCCTTTAGTTTGTTGTCTCTTTTGTGTACATAAAGCGGTCAAGGCAATCCAACATAAAATATATGTCAGTCCAGCATTTTGTATTATACAATGAAGGAAAAGAGGTCAAGAGAAGAGAATAATGTGTTTACTCCGGTGAAGTGACATGGAATTATAAGTGTAAATTAATTATTTTTCCCCCTCCTCCATTGTTCTTTTTACACTTGAAGCTAAACTTTGATGTGAAGCACACACCTGCTGTAATCTGTGTTTCATTCTGCAGCTCCCCAAGTTAATGAGTTACTCAATGTGCTTTACATTAGCACTCTATAGAAGTTTCATTTAAAAAAAAGGCTGCACTGTTAATGGACCTTTTCAACCACATGTTATGTTTCAGGGACTGGAATGGCAAACTGAGGGCAAAGACACTGATAGGTTTTCTCCATTATACAAGGCCCCACTGTGTTCATGACATTACTGAATGTAAATGTTTGGCTGTCTGTATTTTCAGGCACATGATTTTGCTTGTCAGGTTTAGCAAAGCTGAATTATAATTTATGGAGGTTCATTAACGACAAAGCTACTCAGTGGTATTTGAGGGTTAAAGATGCTTTGAGCTCGCATGTAGGATTATGTGTTAGAGGTAAGTGAGTATGGCTGTAGCCTAAAGTTAAGAAATGCTGAGTTTTAGCCAAAATCCCACCCCCACCAATAGTTTTAAAAAGAGCGGGAACAACATTTAGGGCTGAAGTTGTACCATTTGAATACAGCTCAGCTTTTC